ATAACTGATAACTGACATTCATTAAACATGGCACATGGAACTAAAACAGTCTACCCCAGTGAGCGAAATAAAGGGTTCAGTTTGACATTCCAACCACCTGAAGAAGGCAGGAGTGTACAACGGCCGAAATGTTGTAATAAATATGGCGACAAAGATGAGGACAATAGTCCGAATAATGTAAATAGTGTGAATATTTTTCTCATATTCTCTAACACTCAGTAACCCCTTGTATCTTAGTGACTTGTGGGTGAAATGATATAAAAAAAATGTAATTCACATTAAAAAGCAGGATGTTTACTTAAACATGGGTAGCCACTAAAATAATGTTTAGAATAATACAAAATTAATACCTTTCCCAAAGTTATTTGTGTAAAAGTGAATTTAATGAACTCGACTGGAATTTGAACTCAGTTCACTGACTTCTCTTCACGAGCTACTAAACATTACAGCAGCTGCAATTATGCACACACATAAATCCTTTTTATTTCTCTACCATTCCATGAAGATGTCAGTTGTCGGACAGGATTCCCAAATTTAGTACCAAAAAGACTAAATCAGTTAGGCAATTACCAATAACCAGGTCAGTTTTATGTTCTAACTGATATTGCTTAACCACATTGTCTGCCATTATGCAAGAGTGTGTCTATCATCAGGGTCTGTAGACTAACTAGAATTTTTATTTATCTAGAAAAAGGCTGACAGCATCAGAGAAATTTCTGGTAGGATTAGCAACTCTGTGAAAATGTCATTGGAAAGGAAGTTTTAAAATTTAGAGCAGACAGACATATTCTAATTTTGATAAAACATCGAGTAAAAAAAAAAAAAAGTACAAAGTACTAACTCATTTTTGCTGATATTATCACTTCTGTATCAAGTGCAAAAAAAAAAGAAATTTTTCTTTTGCAAAATTCAAAGCAGGTCTTGTATTTATCACTCAGAAAAAAAAAGTCAGACTGAAAAGATAAATGCTATTTATTACATAGAGATTTACTCAAACTCTAGTTTTTCTTGTGATTTTGTAGTTGTAAGTTGTCTGAATTTCTTAGATGAAGCCTTGTCAATTATTATTCATTTTTCACTAGTATTTCTTTCATCTTATTTCTCTTGCTTTTCCACCAAGTAGTAATAGTTTTAAGTTGTCTGAATTTCTTAGATGAAGCCTTGTCAATTATTATTCATTTTTCACTAGTATTTCTTTCATCTTATTTCTCTTGCTTTTCCACCAAGTAGTAATAGTTTTAAGTTGTCTGAATTTCTTAAATGAAGCCGTGTCAATTATTATTCATTTTTCACTAGTATTTCTTTCATCTTATTTCTCTTGCTTTTATACCAAGTAGTAATAGTCTTAAGTTGTCTGAATTTCTTAGATGAAGCCTTCTCAATTATTATTCATTTTTCACTAGTATTTCTTTCATTTTATTTCTCTTACTTTTATACTAAGTAGCTGAATTTGTGATTGAATTAATTTGAATGTTTTGTTGCCTCCAATTATTTTATAATATGTCTACTGCTTTATCTTAGGAATGAAACTTTTGTGTTTGCTTTTTTAAAGAGCCTTCTACTTGATGATCTTATTTGCATGGATGTCAGACAAGGAAAAAAGACAGAAGGTAAAAAGACAAACATTGCTAGTATTTACAAAGGATAGGACATTGTGCATCTATGTGCAATGTCTGTTCAGGGTATGATTACTCCTGCCCTGAACAGATATTGCACATAGATGAAGAAGCAGTAACAAATTCATTTTTCCATTTCTTGAATGGGTCACACCTCTAAATTACTGTTGTTCCCAGGACCATCTTGACCCAGGGTGTTAGCATCTGTTAGGGTCCCAGTTATGTACAAATAGCGAACTCCCAAACAAAAACAAAAGTATAAAAAGACATTTTTATAGCAAAAATACCAGCAATACATCCTTATATATATATTAAAAAAAATTACCAAAAATACCTATTTACAGCAAAATGACCAAAAAGTCATTTTATCTATAGTTGAAGGCATACAATTGCATTCAAAATATTTTGATTTCAGCATTAAATAAACCATAGAAGTTTATGTCACTAAACAAAATCAATCAAGCAAACAACATGAAAGAACTCTCATGACATTAATCCATATAATATCCTACAATTTCTTAAAAAAATCAAACTATATTCCAAAATATAATAAAACTACAACATAAAACACACATATCACCACCTCTAGTAATTATGTCCACACAAACATGTATATACACAAAAGCTGAGTATTATCTACCATGTATTCAGTTGTGAAAGCAGAATAACATATATCATATTTTAATACTTCAAAGCTCCCAAGAAAATTTTGCCATTTAATGACCCATAAGGAGTTGATGTGCCATTAAAGAAAGAGATCAAATCAAATCTGAACAGTTCACAGCACTACATAAAGAAACAGAAAGTAATGCTGCCATATTTGAGCCAACAGAAATTCAAATAGAAACAGATATTGGAATGAAAAATAAAACAATGAATTTCTGAATGAAATAATGTTCTGATAAAATGACCTAAGCTTCATATAAATAAATGTATTGAACTGTCTGGTGAGGTGTTATTTAGAAATAGGCTTATCATACATCCAGGA